CTGTTGGTTTTGTTGCCTAAAGCTAACTGTTGGTTTTGTTGCCTAAACCTAACTTTCGTTTTTAACGTAATGTCGTTCCGATGGACACTAAAACAACCGTATAATTTATGTCCTTGTAAACAAAACCAATGGATTACATTTTGTGACTATTTCACGAACTCCCGTGAGACTGTGTTGTATCAACGGTGTTTATATTCGATAAAACTAAGACATTCAATCTCCTTTCTGATCAGCACAGAACATGTTTGCACGCCTCCCGGAGCAGATAGAAGAAGAGTGCAACGCATCTTTAATGCTCCTCAAGTTTGTTTGCCACTGTGTTAAAAAAAAGAAGTCCTGTGGAAGCCTTTTCCCAAATCCAGTTTTATGCGTTTTGTTTTTGAAGTGACATGGATGGATGGTGTTGTGGTGTTCTCTTCGGGGGTTCATACTGTAGCTACCCTGTGCCCCCTTTTTGTCAGGAACCATATGAAGACATAATATATAAAAATCATGCAGATGCTAACAGATTTGGATGCTCCAAACCTCAGGAATGAGAGGTCATTTAGACCTAGAAGTGTGCTGACAGATGTAGCGTTTATCACCCATCTGATGGGTTCTGATTCTGAGCGTTGTGTAAAATTGTGACGAGATTGTATGATTTAGTTGTTTCAATAAAGCTATTAATAAATATAAGGAAGGAACACTTCCGGGACTAGGAGTCACAGGAGTGGTCATGCCAGCATGTTCTTTGTTTGGCATGTTTGGCATGTTTGGCAGGACTTCATGTGAGATAGATTTTAGTGAGTGACTTATATTGAGATCTTCCTTATGTAAATACAGTTAAAGTAATCGGACGGAAACTGTCATTTATTTAAAGTTTCACTTTTAGTGCATTCCATTCATTTCTTCTTTCACAGCCTTCCAACATCTGATGAAAAAGATACATTTCCTCCATTTTAAATTATTATTAAAGGTTTAATGAAACCTTCCCCCCCCCCCCGGTGTCCACATTTTCAGCTTCACTGTATTCAATTTGAGTTTCATTAAAGATTCCCAATGAGAGAAACTATCAGAAAGCACTCGGGCAGGACTGCGCTGCATTTGTCTTTTACTTGCTACTTTCATTCAGATGTACAGCAGTTCATTTTTAATCAGAAGAATTCACCTGTATGCTGCCAGCTAATACAGGATTAATATACCTTTTAATGACATATTCTTGTATCTTGTAATTTAATATTTGTTGAAAATCTCTAGTTTCCTTTTCAGTTCAAAGGCCAGAGATCTCATTGTGTTCAGTGATTCTGGATCAACAAGGAGACTTCTGCTCTTATCTGCCATACAGAGTAGCTTTTATTGATTCCAAACTCTGAAGCAACAATTTGAAAGATGTGAATACTGCCTGTGAGAGAATGATGCATCGATTAGAAATGTGTGTGCACTGTCATTTTACAATTGTAATTAAATAAACTGCCCTCATGCTGTTGTATGGATGGCACTGGTTTTTGTTCAAAAACATACACACACACACACACACACACACACACACCTGTTTTGTCTTTATTTCTTCATATGTCTGGGAAACAAAACTCATATATAATATATTTTTAGGAGTTTTTTTAGTGTGAAAGAAATCGACGTATCATAGAAGAAAACCATCAAATATTTCCACTTAAAAAGCTGGAATCTGAGAATTTCTGGCCTTTTGCAGTTCAAATAATTCATCAATTTACCTATTGTTTGAGTTCAATATAATCATTCATTATAATATGATATAATATACAACAATAATCAAATAAGATACATTTTTTGTCATCCATCTATTGTCATCCATCCATCTAGTGCAGTTCAGTATATGAACAAAAACAAATAAATGAATAAACATGAAGTTCAAACAAGATACAGGACAGGGTACACACATTTGAAATAACAAACATATAGTCCAATGGTAAAAGCAGTTTTATGTTCCCTGAGGATATTCTGTCTGCAGCAGTCAATGACTTTACAAGTAAATTATCGAGGATTATTCTTTGAAAATTTTTATTTTATTTTATTTATTTTATATAAATGATAAATACTTATTTATTATTTATTTAGATATCAATACATATATATTTTACTTAAATATGAATAAATAAATATATATGTAATATAAAATAATAATATAATTTATATATATATATATATATATATATATATATAGTCTTCCAAAAAATATGTTATGATTAGTAAACGTCTTCTTTGGTTGTATAAATCATATATATTTATTGATATATATAATTTTTTTATTGCCATATCAACTGTACTTTTCACCCAAATTTACTTAGTACGCATGCGCACGGTTGACAGCTCACCAGCAACCGTGCGCATGCGTACTTGCATGCTCTATACAACAGCCAGCTGATGCCATCCAGCTAGCCACAGCGCGGCTACCGATTTTGGGGTTTTGGTTTCCTGCAGCACACAAAACCGTCACACTCAAATGTAATACATCCTGCGGCAGCGACGTAACTAAGATTAAATAACTAAGATTAATGCAAGTATGGCGGTTGTACTTAAAAGTATTGACAGCTCTTCTTCTGTGTAGTTAGCTCGCTAGCTAGCTAGGTTAAAGTTGATAGCACCTGAATAGCATCAACGCTAGCTTAGCTTAGCTACACGGTCGGTTTTGGTACCAGAAACCTTCATCGTCAGCCATGGGGATACTGTTCACCAAGCTATGGAGGCTTTTTAACCACCAAGGTAAGACAGGTTCCGTGTTATTGTCATGAAGACATGTGAGCTATAGGTGGTGAAGAGAAGGCCCGCAGAGAAAGACTCATGTTAGCTTATAAACAGCTTTCTACACGTTAACATAAACCTGTTATATTCTTATCTTATTGTATATGTGTGTAGGCTTCACCAACCAGCCGTAGATTAACCGTATTATCGTTTAAAGTGGGGGAAGAATGTCGTTTAGGTTATTCCTTTATTGTCATCTATCTATCTATCTATCTATCTATCTTTAAATATTCTCAGTATATGAGCAACATTGTGTTTCCCTGGTGCCAAAACAATGAACGAATAAACATAAAGATCAAAGAACAACAAGATACAAAAACGGGTACAGAACAAGATACAGGACGAGGTACACGTTTAGGGAAATAACAAAAAACACTTGGTAGTGTAAATATAAATATAGGTAGTGTAAACAAATGTTAAGTGCGCATATATATATATATATATATATATATATATATATATATATAGTATAATATAAATATTCTAATACATATAAAAATATAAAAGTATTTTATTCAATCAAACAAACTTTATTTCAGACTCAGGACTCGACAATAAAAGTACACAGGCCATACAAACTGTTTAGTTAGTTAATTCATTATTCTATTTCTGTGTGTGTGTGTATGTATGTGTGTGTGTGTGTATGTGTGTGTATGTATATGTATGTATGTATGTGTGTGTATGTATGTATATGTGTATGTATGTGTATATGTATATGTGTATATATATGTATGTTTATTTTATTTGATTGCTTTACCTGTGTCATAATGCTGCTGTAGCAAACAAATTTCTCTCTTTCTCTCTCTCTTTCTCTTTCTCTTTCTCTCTCTCTGCGCGCTCGCCCGGTTCTGCATGAATGTAGATTATTGATGCTCTCCGTGGATGGATTGAGGGTTAGGTGACACCAGGTGATGTTGAACCCGTAAACAGAAAGCCAACGCTCGGTCTGTGTAACATGAGTACCGTCGTGCTGTACTATGACGAGAGGCGGCTACACAAGCAGAGCACAGTGGAAGCAGCCACATCAGCACAAAGAACTGGGCCAATAAGGACCGACGGATGAATCACATTGACTTTTGCACTGTAATCACATAATCGGTGTAATGTCAGCTTATACAGGTAACCCACAGTCCATTCCACTCACTGCTGTCTGCTTGTGATGCTCTGAAAGAGGAGTATCTTGTA